CACTCCTTGTATATTCTATAATCCTTTTTGAGTTATATGTGCTGCAGATACTTTCTCCTGGTTTGTGGCCTAGTTTTTATTGCCCCATCCTGCCTATTGTATCTTTTAACAAAGCCAAAGGGTTGTGAGAATTACCCAGTTACTGTGTACACATCTCTGGGAAATCAGGACATTTCTTTTGCAACCCTAATACTGTTACCCCCAGCAAAGTGAGAATAATCTGAGTCCTCTCTTGCCCATCTGCCCCCAGCCTTACCTCATTCCTGAAGCGTGATCTCCCTCAGACCTCATCAGCCTGGAACAGCACTGCCCGCTTGTGGAAGCCCTATGTTGGTGTTGGTTCTCCTGTGCCCCTTGGCAGAGGGGCAACCAGCTGTGGGGTTCTCCCCCACCCACAGTGTCTCTCAGAGAATAGGAGCTGCCTTTTAGACCCTGCTCCTCCGTAACCCTCCACCCCGGCTTTCCCAGGTCAGGGGTTTCGTCCACTTGGAATTGACTTTGTGTGATATGAGATGGGGTGTCCCTTTCTCTGCCCAGACATACACCTGGCCCCACACCCAGAGCTGTCCACTGCTGTTTGCCCCCAAGGCTGCCTGGGAGACCCAGGGGACAGTGTAAGTTGCAGCTTAGGTCTTGACACCCTGTACCCTTGAGTGAGTGTCTGGGTCCTTGCGGCCATGGTTCTGTGTTTCCTCCTTAGGCTCATTCCACCCCCTACCCCTGGGGCCAAAGCTCAGGAAGGTAGTTTTCCTTTGTGTTATCTGGTTAGGGGTAGGTTTCTTCCACTTTGCCTTTAAGTGGGAATCTTATCTTACAGGGAAGGCATCTTCATTTAGATTTTTGAACTGTGGGTAAGTGTGACCTTTTCCAGTTGTGCCCTGAACTTGGAGAGGCCTAGAAAGCCAGAGTTTAAGGGTGATTCATTGGATAGATGCCCCATTACTGAAGTCTTTGGGGCCAGGAGGCCCCCCCCACCTTGATCGTGCCCTTTCATGGGTGACCACGAACGCCACTGTCTTACCTGCTCCTGGGTGATGTCAGGACCCTTTTCCTCTTGTTCCCTCCCCTCCCTTGCTCTCTCTCCTTCCTTTCTTCTGTTTCTTCTTCTGTATTTTCTTTTTCTTGTCTTCTAACCATTCTATCCAACACTCCAAGTTGCTTTCAGCAGAAGGTTTTTTGAGGTTCCATGGCTGTTTGGTTTCCAGAAACCAATGTGCTGAGGCCTCATTCTTACATGGAAAAGTGAGGGCTTGGTGGGGACAATTGCTGAAGCTCCAGGCGTTGGTGATTCCTCAGTAGACTCTGAGTGGTGGATTTTGTTATGGCACCAAGACCTGTCTGGTTTATGTTTTTAGTTTTTGGAAACAAGGTCTCACACTGCTGCCTGGGTTAGAGTGCAGTGGCATCATCATAGCTCATTGCAACCTCAAACTCCTGGGCTCAAGGGTTCCTCCTGCCTCAGCCTCCCAAGTAGCTGGGACTTTAGGCATGCACTACAATGCCTAGATAATTTTTCTACTTTTTTGGTAGAGACAGGGTCTCGCTCTTGCTCAGGCTGATCTCCAACTCTGACCTTGAGCAATCCTCCCGCCTTGGCCTCCCAGAGTGCTAGGATTACAGGTCTGAGCTACTGCTCCCAGACGTGTGTGTATTTTAAGGAAAGTAAAAAACAAAAATGATAAAATTGGTAACGCATCAGTATTTGTGAGCTTCAGTTTTACATCGCTTGTGTTTCCAGTGGGAAGTGCTCCTCAACACTCCAGTGGTGGGTCAGCAGAAACCTTGGCAGCCAGGGCCCTCCCTCCCACATGAGGTGGCACTTCCCTCACTTTTAGTAATGATGTTCTTTCTTTATTGCTGTGAGCTCTGCACCCTTCACTGTAATAGACTCTTCCTACTTTGGGGCCTGACATGAACAGAAACATGCATCACACATCCCTTTGTGTCTGGCTTCTTTTGCTCAGCATTATGATCTTAAGTCATGCGTCTTGTATGTGGCCCATATTTCCAAGAGTGTCCGTCGTGGGAATGCACCTCACCGCGTTCATCTGTTTTGCTGTGGTGGTGGTGTGTGTCCACTCTCCTTCCCTGGTTTACAGCAACCTGTGGGTAGCCTTGTCTGGCATGCTGGTGCGTGGAACAGGTGTCCTGGGCTGGATAGTGCGTGTGCATCACCAGCTCAACCTTGGCACTACAGACTCTTCACCCTCAGCAGGTCTTGTGGGTGTGTGTGGATTTGATTTGCATTTTCCTTTTCTTAATTAGGTTGACCATCTTTTTTATGTGTTTATTGGAATTTGGATTTCCTCTTTGGAGAAGTACTTGTTAATGTGTTTTGACTATTTTTCTCTTCAGTTGCCTTTTCTTTTTTTTTTTTTTTTTTTTTACAGCCATCATCATACTGAAAGTTGCCTTTTCTTATTGATTTTTAGAAGCCCGGTGTTGGTTATATGTGGCCAACATTTTCTCTTCTTTGGCTAGTACATTTACTTTCTTAGTATCCTTTGATGACAATGTTCTTTCTTTTAAGATAGTACATTCTACTACTCATTGCATCATGTTTGTGCTGTCTGTGTCTGTTGAAGAAGTTGTTACCTTTCATAGGCCGGGCGCGGTGGCTCACACCTGTAATCTTATCACTCTGGGAGGCCCAGGTGGGTGGATTGCTCCAGGTCAGGAGTTTGAAACCAGCCTGAGCAAGAGCAAGACCCCGTGTCTACTATAAATAGAAAGAAATTAATTGGCCAACTAGTATATATAGAAAAAATTAGCCAGGCATGGTGTCACATGCCTGTAGTCCCAGCTACTTGGGAGGCTGAGGCGAGAGGATTGCTTGAACCAGGAGTTTAGGTTGCTGTGAGACTAGGCTGACACCATGGCACTCACTGTAGCCTGGGCAATAAAGCGAGACTCTGTCTCAAAAAAAAAAAAAAGAGAAGTTGTTTCCTTTCATAAATTAGAAGACTATGTTGTCTTCTGAAAGATTTGTGGGTTTTCTTTTTCTTTGTTTCTTTTTTTTTTTTTTTTTTTTGAGACAGGGTCTCACTTTGTTGCCAGGCTAGAGTGAGTGCCGTGGCGTCAGCCTAGCTCAACGCAACCTCAACTCCTGGGCTCAAGCGATCCTGCTGCTCAGCCTCCCGAGTAGCTGGGACTACAGGCATGCACCACCATGCCCGGCTAATTTTTTTTTTATATATATATTATATATATATATTATATATATATATATATACTATATATATTATTATTAGTTGGCCAATTAATTTATTTCTATTTATAGTAGAGACGGGTCTCATCTTTCTCAGGCTGGTTTCAAACTCCTGACCTCGAGCAATCCGCTTGCCCCGGCCTCCCGAAGTGCTAGGATTACAGCGTGAGCATCTTTTTTTTTTTTTTTTTTTTTTTTGAGACAGAGTCTCGCTTTGTTGCCCAGCTAGAGTTGAGTGCGTGGCGTCAGCCTAGCTTATAGCAACCTCAAACTCCTGGGCTCAAGATCCTCCTGCCTCAGCCTCCCAAGATAGCTAGGACTATAGGCATGCGCCACCATGCCCGGCTAATTTTATATATATACATTAGTTGGCCAATTAATTTCTTTTTATTTAAATTCCCTACTCTGGGATTTACCAACTCGGCATGTTTTTTTTTGTTTTGTTTTGTTTTTTTTTTTAGAGAAAGGGTACTTGCTCTGTTGCCCAGGCTGGAGTGCAGTGGTGTGATCATACCTCACTGTAACTTCAAACTCCTGGGCTCAAGGGACCCTCCCACCTTAGCCTCTCAAAATGCCAGGATTACAGGTGTGAGTTACTGCACCCAGCCTGTGGCTTTGACATCCTTTCACAGTCTGGCATCTGGGACTCTGTCTTTGTGGCACTCGCTGAGTTCTTCCATTGGGCCTGAGCCCCTTTGTCCTGTTACCAGAGCTTCACAATCAGGCTTAAAAGCAGTTCTCCAAGATTGTTATGGCCCTTTTGAGCTCTTTGTGTAAATTTTTGAATTAGTTTGTCAAGTTCTACCCAAAAAGCTTTTGGGAATTTTGTTTGAATTGCCATGACTCACCCTGGAGCAGGGGTTGACAGCTTTTTTTCTGTAAAGGGCTAGAGTTAAAGTTTTGACTTTGCAGACCACATGGGAGCACTTCTGTGGGAGCACAGAAGTGGGCTTGGCAGCATGAGATGGGTAGGCATGGCCATATGCCAGTAGAGCTTCCTTTATGGTCCAGCATCACAATTTCATATTACTGTCATGTGTCATGAACTATTAGTCTTTTGGGTTTTTCCCCCACTACTCATTTAAAAATCTAAAAACCATTCCTAGCTCTAGACTGCCCTCATTGTACCTTTCTTCTTAGGAGCATGATAGAGCTCCCTGTTTATTTTGGATTTAAAATTTTATCCCAGTTATTTTATAGTTTTCTGCATATAAAGTCTTCTGTCCATTTTTTGTGAGACTTAGTCCTAGGCTTGTGATATAACTAATGTAGTTATAAATGCCATATTAATTTTCTTGTCTTCTGAGTTTACTAAAGGCTTTCATTGTATGTCCAACATTATTAATTGGGATTATCTTTATGGTTGATTTTTAGCTTTCTTCCTTTTATTTTTCTGAATTATGCATTTTAAAATGTACATATGTTGATTTCGATCAAAGGATTTAAGGCACTGCATTTCTCCCCTTTGAGGAAGGCCGCTTTACTGACCTGTGTGAAATCCCCGGCACCCTCAGGGCCTGCCTCTCAGACGGGCCCCCACTCTAAAGCCCCTCCACACCCCTGCCTAGTAGGGGGTGGAGCTGGTCACAAAAGTGCGTGCACACACACACACACACTTAATGTGCTGTTCCGAGTCCTCAGAGTGGTCTTGGCAGCTCCTTGGCATTGGCCTTTAAGTAGAGGGGCTGTCTGGGCTAAGGCGCTGGTCCTGTCTAATGTCCTGTTTATTTTTCCTGAAATCCAGGCACTATCTGCACCAAGTTCATAAGGACTGTTTTCTGGAATTTTGTAGGTTGAAAACTTGTTGCTTAGTAACCAAGGGACCATCAAGCTGTGTGACTTTGGCAGTGCCACGACCATCTCGCATTACCCCGACTACAGCTGGAGCGCCCAGAAGCGAGCCATGGTGGAGGAAGAGGTGAGAGGAGCAGTGGGGCCTCTGTGCATGGATGTCACCCTCCACCACATCCCTTTCTCCATGGGCCCTCTCTAGCCCACTGGGAGTCTACACCAGTGTGCAATGTATCCCTGTAAGCCAAGACCTGAGCAGGCACCACCACGCCAGAGTCCCACGGGCTGGGCTGGGCACAGTGGCTCACGCCTGTAATCCTAGCACTCTGGGAGGCCGAGGTGGGCGGATTGCTCGAGGGCAGGAGTTCGAAACCAGAATCTAACAGACTGGTCTTGCTCCAGACTGCCTGTGGTGCTGGTTGTGGGCACAGAGACAAGTCAGATGGAAGATTGCACTTCAGGTCATCCTCCTCCCAGATCTGGCTCTAAATGTCTTATGGCCATTTTTTTCTTGGATTTTTTTTTATTATGGTAAAATATAACAAAATTTATTATTGTAGCCTTTTGTTAGTATGAATTCTGGTGGCATTCACATTCACAGTGTTGAGCAACCATCACCACTGCCCATTCTGGATCTTTTTTATCCTTCCAAATATGAGTATTTTTAAAAAATTATTTAGAAATATATCTTCATGGGAGACGTGGCAGCTCCATCCAGGAGACCCCTGCACAGCTCAGGACGGTGTGGGTGGGGCCCGAGTGTGACCTGGAGGGAGAAACCCAGACAAAAGGGTGTGAAACTGGCAGGGTGTCCTTGGGCTGCCTTCTTGGTGAGAGCCCAGACCCAGCCAGCAGCACCCATGCGCAGCAGCAATGTCAGGGTCACTACCTGTGGCACTAAGAAAATAAACCCAAGCAGAGGTTCAGGGTTTCTTTATATTAGGTCATTAAATATGAAATGTCCAATTAAGAATCAAAAGTTTAATTTATTATATCTCAAACAAGAAACAGTACAATTAAAGTATGCACCTAAACTGTTGACACAGTTTTGCCTTCTTAACAGTAGCTTGCTTATACCAACAGCAGAGAAGCGTGGAGAACAAGTGGCAATGAAATCATGAAAGGTGTTTTCCAGAACTTATTGAGTACTGAATATTTTTTTTTATTTCGGCATATTATGGGGGTACAGATTTTAAGGTTTCAATAAATGCCCTTCCCTCCCTCTCCCCACAAGTCTGAGTTTCCAGCATGATGAATATTTTTCCTTGCAAAAAATGGTCTAGAGCCTAGAAGAAGGGGTAGTCAGTGCAAGGTCTGCTGAATATGGTAGATGATAGTTTCCAGGTCCAGCCTCAGTAGTTTGAGCAGTGTTGTTTGTTGGACACATAATTGAACGTTGTCTTGCAAGAGAATTGGCCTGTCTTTATTGACCAATCTTGGCTGCTTCATTGCAAGCATCCTCATCATTTCATCCAAATTGGTTGCAGTAGACATCCGCCATAATCGATAATCAGGTTTCATGAAGCTATAGTGGATACCAGCACTGGACCACCAGATGCCATTAGCTTTTTTTTTAATGAATATTCAGTTTTGGACCGTGTTTTGGCACATCATCTTTATCCTAATCATTGTGCTAAATGCTTATGATTGTCAGAAAGAATGTGTTTTTCATCACACGTAACAATACAGTAGAAATGGTTCACCTTTATGTAGTGACAGCAAAGAAAGGCAAGCTTCGAGACGTTTTCTCCTCTGATGCTCATTTAATTCATGTGGAACCCATCTATGCAGCTTCTTTACCTTGCTGATTTGTTTCAAATGGTACAATAGTGTTATAATAGTAATGTCAAACTTTGCTGCTAATTCACATGTGGGTTGAGATGGATTCTCTTCCACTACAGCTTTCAGCTTTAAAATCACCAGAACGGAACTTCTCAAACCATCGACGTACTGTGCGTTTATTGGCCATGTCCTTCTCAAACACTTTGTTGATATTTCGAGCTGTCTGCTCTACATCGGTTCCATGATGGAACTCATATTAAAAAATGATTTCAAAAAAATTGCTATAAAAAGAAAAATTTGAAAGATAATCACAAGCCAAATGAAGATGTACCTTCACCAAAACAAAACAACAACAACAACAACAAACAAGAAGTGTCAAAGTGAAATGTCAGAGATAGCAACTGTCAAACTTAGTACTTAGGGGAATCAGACATTCCATACTTAATAACCTAATAACTCTATCCCGCCTCCACCAGCAGCCAGGACCAGGAATGTGTTGTCAGATCCTGTGTTGAGAAGTCTCTGGGATTATTCCTTTTCTCCTTCATTGTGATTCTGTAACTCTTTTAAAGCACATTTGGGTTTATCTATCCATTTATTTACATTAAGAGACTTTGTTTTTTGAACACGCGTCAGGCTTACAGAGCAGGGGTGGGAAGGCACCGAGTTGCCCTGTGCCCCAGCTCGCACTCATTGCAGCCTCCTCACTGTTCCTTGGTTCTTACTCCTGGGTCTCTCGCCCACTCTCGTCAGTTGCTGTGCTGTGTCTTGGGGTTGTGGACACTGAGTTCTGTATGAGCCCATGTCCTTGTGCAGGCCTGGTTTTCAGCCAACTGTTTCACCATCCTAAGCGAGGCCACTCTTGAGTAGCAGATCTTCAAGCAGAGGATAGTTTATTCTCTGTTCTCATTTTCTCATTCTGTTTAATGCTGTAACTATAGGGGCCTGTTTGCCCACTGATCCCATGTGAATCCACAGTCTTGGGGCTGGTGTTCGTGGTTTGCCATGCACTGAGATTTCTCTTTTCCATGTGGGTGTGTGACCTACAAGCCCCTCCCTCTGTATGTTTGTTGTGTCTTTCAGTTTTTAAACCTGAACTAACCATGTAAATTTAGTTGAGTTATTTCTTCCATTGTAGAAGTGTTCTGTGTCCTCTACTAGAATTCATCTGGAAGCCTCTTTTAATATAGCACTTCCTTTTGTACACTAGAATAATTGTGGCTCATAAAAGCTGGTCTGTTTTCAAGCTGTTCTGGAGTAGGTTTCTTGTGTTAAGTGTGACACACCTCTACTGAACAAACAAAACAGATGTATGGCAGGTGAATACTTTGGCATAGTTATTTTATTAAATGTGGGGTGGCCATGAGAGATTCATGGAAAATTAATCCAAAGGGAAAGGGCAGTGGAGGTGGTGAGTAGGGCCCTGAGGTATTCTGGAACGTACAGGAGGAAAGGACACCATGCACTTGGGAAGTTGCAGGGCGTTGATGCAAAATAAAAATACTGCTCACATATAACTTTTCCTTTGAAATATCTGTTTTTTCTTCAGATCACGAGGAACACAACACCCATGTATAGGACGCCAGAGATCATAGACTTGTATTCAAACTTCCCGATCGGCGAAGAAGCAGGATATCTGGGGTGAGTCCTGGTGCCTCTCCTGGCAGTGCCTGGCTCAGTCCTCCAAGGAGACCTGTCCTTGGCCCAAGCATAGTGGGAGACGGCGTCTGTCCTGGGCGTGGGCAGCTGCAGCCTGTCTCCTCTGGACTGAGGAATCAGCAGGTCCCCTTGGCTCCTTTCTCTTTTTACCATTTCTTTTTTCTTTTATCTTTTGTTTATCTTGTTAAGAATCACTCATTACTGCTTTTCACAGAGATGACTGGAGTAGAATTCATTTGGTTGGTGTGCTGGTGTGGAACTGAGTTGACCAGGAGTCTTGTGGCAAGCCGGATCCATTGGGTGGACATTATGTCTTGTGGTGCTCCTTCCTCTCCACTTCATGGCAAAGCTCTTGGCCACACCACTGTGCTCCTTTTCCCTCCCTGGTGTGGCTAGAGCCACCAGCGTTCACCTGGGACCTGGGAAAGCACCTGCAACTCTGCACCTTGGACTTCCCACTCAGGGTTCATAAGGGTCCCATGTGGGCCCATGTTGACATTTTGCATCTGTTCCTGGGATCCTAGGTTGAGAACCTTTGTCTTTTGAGATGTGTGTGAGATGATGGGTACCCACCTATGTCCTCATTAGCTGCTATGTCTTGGTTGCCCCAGGCACGCATCCCAGCAGGAAGACACCCCTACTTTGTCAGGTGTCCTGGTATGAACTTTTACTCTTAGCTGGATAAAATCTTGATGTTGAAGTAACCACTGCTTCCTCCTGTGGGTTCCCATAGTTGGGTGTTGTGGGTAGAATGACCCCTCCACTGATCCTACAGGCCTCATTTCTATGTGCTCTGCTCTGCTCCTTTGCTCTATGTGTAGTGTTGCAGCCAAAAAATGCCAGGACAGAGCTTGTCTCCCACATTGCTTTGGCATTGCTCTGCCATCACTGGGGATGATGGACGTCTGCCCCTTACACAGCGAGGTCTGTGCTGGTGTCCCACTAGCCCCAGAGCCCAAATGCATGAATGTGAGAACCGTTTAATTCTGAAAGGGACATTTTGATCTAAAATAAGAGTTTGGAGTTTATTTACAACTGTAACCTAGATAATTTTTTGTGGTGCATAAGGATGGAAAAATCGAGCCTTCCCCTGTTGTGGGGAGGGCTGTTGCTAGCTCTCTTAGGTAGGTTGGCCTTTGTGTGTCACAGCCAAGTCTGGCTTGTCTGTAAAACCAACAAAAGATGGAACCCATGGAAGGAGCCCCCACCCCAGCTGCTTCTCTGTGTCCCAATGCAATCCCATGTCCTCATCCCTGCCAGCCCTGGGCACTCAGCCTCTTTTCTCCCCGCAGGCCCTGGGCTGCATCTTGTACCTGCTGTGCTTCCAGCACCATCCTTTTGAGGATGGAGCAAAACTTCGAATAGTCAATGGGAAGTACGCGATTCCTCTGAGTGACACTCGGTACACCGTCTTCCATGACCTCATCCGTAAGTCCCTGTGGTAGATGCTCCAGGCAGGGGCTGGAGAACAACCTTCCTGTTAGGTGTGGGTGTTGCCCACTGGCTGGCACTGCCATGTCTCCCACTTGTTACCGTTGTTTTGACAGCATCCTTGGGGGGGGGCTTTTCAATGGAGCTCTCATCTACTCACCCTTAGGTGAATTTACTGTGCTTTGAGTGGTGGTTTGATGACTTGGTTCAGTTTTGT